TTTCTTCCGAAATTCTACATGCCATAACGTCGATGAAGAATTGTACACCGCTCGATAGGATCGAACCACAACATCTGAAGTGTCTCCCACACCTTATCGTCAGAACTCTGGCTAGGCTCTTCACGCGATACCTGTCAAAATGCAAAGTGCCCACATCGTGGAAAACTAGCGAGGCTGTGCTGCTATGTATAAGAAGAAGATCGCGACAAGATTAGCAAATACCGGTCAGCTATAATCTACAAACCTTTCACGAAACTCATCCTTTACAGGATTGACAGATTATCAGGTGGTGGATAGCCATGCGAGCAAGCAGTTTTTAAAGATCAGTAAAAATGGACACATTTACTTTGTCATAAGTCTCTTTGAAATATCGTCGGTCCACCGGCGCCGTTAAGTCTGACCTTCATCGATTTATTGAGGGCCTTCGAAACATTGAAGCCCAGTTGGGGCCTTGGGCAACCAGGAAATTTCTACACATTAGATGATTGATTGTTGTCCAGTGTCCCCATTGTTTTGATCAGGTGTGATGAGTATAACACGGTAGGCTCGGCCAAAAGGCGCTATGCCCAGCCTAAGCCTAAGCCAAAGATCCAAGATTTGAGCTGTAGCTAGAGCGGCATGTTACAACTGTTACCCCTTCGGTATCTGCCAGCCCAATATGACGTCTGCTTCAGCCAGATCGTCCAACGGTCACTCTAATACCATTGGCAGTAGATGAAGTTTCCGCTTTAAGCAGTACCGCTGTCTGCTTTTACCCTCTGCCGTTCACTAGTTTTTTGCATTCTTCTCCAGAAACTTGGAAGTGGGAAAAAAGAAATGGCTATACGTACCGGCACATTCGTCAAATCGATTCTAATGTACGTGTCCCTATCATGCCGCATTTGCATGTGCAATGCACCAAGAGCGTGCATGAACTCATGGGCCACAGTACCGACCTTAAAAGAACTCTCACATAAATTCATTTATATTCAAGAAACCCATACAAAGTGTATGTATAACTTACAACAAAGCATCCATTAGTTAGCGATAGACTCTGTTCGCCTCCTCTCATTCCTACCGACGAATAACATCCTGCTCCATCAAACACCTTTATACGATTTGTTGCGGTGGCGTCTTCCACGAATGTGATACAAGTTCTATCACTGAGATATTTGAGCTGTTTTCTTACGTATGCTTGATTAGCAGTGGCTAAAAGGTACTCAGATAAATTCCTTGGTAGGCAGGTATTGAGCAATACATTTAGCTGGACCTACTTATAGTGGCGTCAAAATAGTAGAAAACTTTGTTGTTGGTCCAGCGTGTGGCGTATGTGGCAACTTGACGTTTCTGTCGAGTTTGATTTCCCAGTTCGTTCTCAAATGCAGCAAGCTGTTCGCTAAATTCCATAAAATAAATTCGAGGATGAAAGAGAAATCATTCAGGATTGATCAATTTGTTTTGGTTTGCAATAAAGAACGTGAAAAGCTGCACATTCTAGCGATACTTTTTCTGCTCTTTTCTAGGTGCGATACAGTATCTCCAATATTACAGTTATGGTCCAATATAATGGTTCATTAGAAGGAAAGTCACTCGTTTGGGGTGGGTGCTCCTAAAAAAGCCGCATCCGTTGCATTTTGCGTATACGGAACCGATCTCCTCATACGAGGAGCCAAGTTCTTGGTGTGAGTTGTTGTGAAACAGCTTTGATTCATAACAAGTGAGTTATTAAGGAGTTCCCGTTAGTTGATAATTACTAAAAAGGCCATATAAAATTGTGGATAAAAAATTAATCGGAAATAAAAATAAATAGCATAAAAGGGGTAAGTTTCACGTACTCAGTGAGGATCATATCACCATTGAACAAGAACTCGTCAACTCCTTCCCTTTGATTCACTTCTTCGATCGTACCCTCATCTGCTGTAGTACTTCCTCCAGTTTTTGCCTTCAATGGAAAATCGAATCAGATGAAGTCAACAGCCTTGTAATGCGAGAAAATGAGCTAACTTTCGAAGGTGTTGGTGTCTTTTCAGATTTAGCTTTTGGACCCAGACCTCTCAATCCGAGATTTCTCAGCCTTTCATGACGCTTATCGATATCGATACCTCCATAGGCCTAAAATTTGCGGATTATTCACTATGTGTGAAGAATGACTCTAATATTATTTTTATTCTTAACTTATCAATGAGAACTCAGGTGCTTAGACTAGTTGCTTGTGGTGGATAGAATGTTCTCCTAGGACCTTACTTGGTAGGGCTATAGGGTTGTTGAGTTTCATGAAACCGCGCCAAGAATCTTATCAAGTGGCACGAAAATTTTTAATTTTCCAGCTTATTCGCTTTGTCATAGGAAGTTTCTAGTCTATCTCTTACATCAAGAACTACTCTTCCACTTTTCTGAAGCGTACCTTCGTCAGAGCGATCCTTCCTCTTTCGGAAAGGCAAAAGCTGCTGTCCAATAGTACAGTAAGAAGAATAAGCACACCAATCATCCTCTTCCGACCCT